ATACACAAATTGTCCACCAAAATCAAACGAGCCATCTCACGACCGATGCCTAGCTCTCGTGCTATCTCTCTAACACTCACATGAGGATTTTTGAACACGATTTCCTTTGCCTTTTCAATGTTTTCGTCGGTGGTAGAGGTCGAAGGTCGTCCAGAACGCGGCATGTCTTCGACGGTCGTACGACAGTCCTGAAAGGCTTTGTACCACTCATAAACTTGAGTTTTCGATAAAACTGATTCCCCATAAGCCTTTTGTAGCATTCGCAACGATTCTGCACACGAAATTTCGTTCGAAAAACAAAATTTGATGCAAACTCTTTGTTCAATATTTTTTTCCATTGTTTTTTTCGCAACGCACTACTGAGGTGAACTGGTTTCAACAGCTGCCGTAAACGAACTGTCCGACAGATCGCGCTCTTTTGGCATAGTAATTAAGGACAGTGCTGCCAAACTACATAAACTTAAAATATCGAAAAATATACAGCGCGCGAATTTTAAATGAGAATTTCCCAAAACTTTTCGGTCACAATGTAATTATATGCGTAACCCACAGTTTGTTATAGATACGTTAAATATAAAAACTTATGATCAGCCTCTAGATTTAAAATGGAAAATTTAATAAATATAATTATTGAATTATTGAGAAATAAAACATTATTGAAAACGCAGCATACTTTTTGTCCAATCCAATATCTTATTTTGTAACAACCCATCTCTTTGTTGTGGTTTTTTCGAGAAAAGTTTTTTTGATGCCCTGTGTTTCAATCTTCTTAACATCTTTGCGACAAGGAAGAGTTTCTTCTTTAAAAATCTGTATCTGAACCATTAATTCTCACTGCTGCATTACCTAAACCTAAACTTTTATTATGTATCTAAGGGATGTCACTTTTTACGCACATAATTGTCGTATCCAATATTGATATTTCTAGGCCTCCATCAAATCAAGACTCCTAATCTTATACTTCATGTGCTTTTAATACAAGAGCAGCACTATTTACAAGTTATACTATATTTTTTTTTATTGCTTTAAAAACATCTTGGCAAACTATAGCTGTGAAGATCAATATATGTGTGAAACTAAGGTCAATAATCTGTATCATTATCTGTTAGTGTAAGACATACATTCCTTTACATTAGCACAAAACATTATAAACAAATTGAGAAGTATTCTATTTATATAGTTTTAGAAATAATTTTTAATATAATATTCAATGTGAATAAATGACTTTAATTTAGGTTATGTTAAGTATAATTTAGGCCAATAAATTTTAATCAGGTTTTTAAAATATATATATAAATATATATATAAAATATATATATAAAATATATATATAAAAATAATATTTAAATATTAATATTTAAATTATAAATAACAGATTATGATTAGAATGTTTATGAATTTATTCAAATCATTTATTTGAGAAAAAATGACCATTAATTAAAATCAATTTGTTATTATTATTAAATAGTTATTATTAAATTATAATTATTAAATTATTACTATTAAATTATTATTTTATAAAATTATTATTATAAATTATTAGTATTTAATTTTATTGTTAAATTATAATTAAATTAAATTATAATTATTTTAAATTATTAATTATTAAATTTTATCATTAAATTATTTATTTTAAATTATTATTACTTAATATTAGTATTTATTTTATTATTAAATTATATATTAATTATTACTATTAATTATTATATAAAATTTATTTTAGAAAATTATTAGATTAATTATTAGTATTTAATTATTATTATTAAATTATTATTATTAATTATTATTATTAAATTATAATTATTAAATTATAATTATTAAATTATTATTATTAAATTTTTATTATTAAATTATAATTATTAAATTATTATTATTAAATTTTTATTATTAAATTATTATTATTAAATTATTATTATTAAATTATTATTATTAAATTATTATTATTAAATTATAATTTTTGAATTATTATTATTTATTATTAAATAATTATTAAAAATTAGTGTGTCAAATTGATAAAACTAATAAATAATTAAAAAAAAAAAAACTTAGTGTTACATAAATTATAATAAAGTTATGTTAAAATAAATGCAATATACCATACTATTCCGTTGGTTTTAATTCAATTTTTCAAGAAGTCTTTTGAAACTTATATAAAAAACTATTTTATAATTTTTATTTTATATTTATATCATATAGTTTATTTCTATATAAAAATATTACTAACATTTCGAAGTTTTTTGATTTCTTCATTAGTGCGAAGTATATCAATTAATTTACAAATCAGAACTTAAAATCAATAATATAATAATAAAAACTTTTTATTTTTAAATATTGATTCTGCTATATGTAGTACCAAATCAAAATTTAAAAATAATAATATAGTAACAGTATTTATTTTTAGGTTTTGATTCTGTTACAAATAGTAGCAATTTAATTTTTATAAAACCAGTTATCATACTAAATCCTGATGAAAAAGTCAAAAAACCTCCGAAACATCAATAATATTTTAATAGATAGAACTACAAATAAGTAACATAAAATATATAAAATAAATCAAAAATAAAAGCTATAAAATAGTCTTTTTTCCAAACACAATAAACTTTTTTTCAAAAACTCAATTAAATGAATATAATTATAGTTTTTATTATTATATATTTTACATATATATTATTTATTATTTATATTTTTATACTACATAATTTATTAAATTGTAATAAAAAAATATTTAAGTGTCACCAATATTTCAATTATAGTCTATAGTCATCTTCATGATAGTAGCATGACTATGTAGACTATATAGACTACAGTCGAGCTATTGATGACAATAAAATATATTGTTTGAATATAATTTAAAAAGCTATGTACTAAGTAAATAATTAACCAATTAGTCCGTTAAAATAACTAATTAATATATACTTTAAATAAAATATAATATATAAAATATAATATATAAATATAATATAAAATATAAAATATAATATATTTTATTTAATATCCCCGACTTTTTAAAGATTTTTTTAATTCCTGCTCAGATTTTGTGACATACTTATTAAATTATTTCAGAGAAATAAAATTCTTGTATAAAATTTATGTTAAATATAATGTTTTTATATATTTATTTTATATTTACTTATTATTTATTATTAATTTTTTTTTGTGTATTATAAATTTTGTGCAACATAAGCAAAAATTAAAACTCCCTGAGATAAATCAATACTCCTTGAGATCGAAGTAAAAAAGTTTGGAGAGGTGGGCGTTGTTAAATATTAATTACTGAAGCCAGAGCGAAAAACAAACTTTTAGTTTTTTTTAATTATCTTGGGTAATTTTATAAAAAAAATTAAAAGTAAAAAACCAACTATTAGTTTATTGTTTCATTCACACTATTTAAGTTATATATAAAAAGTGAACTAGAAATTCATCTAAGGACTTAATTTATGTTATTTTAAATTTTTTATATAGTTAATTATTATAAAAATTTTGTCTATAGCTATATAGTTAGAAAGAATTAAGAATAAAAAACCAACTATTAGTTTTTTATTTTATTAACGTTTAAAAGTACAAAATCAAACTCAGGAACCACCAAAACCCACTTGCAAACAAACTTATCCAAAGCACTGGAACCCAGCGACTCAAAAGAAATTATATAAACTCGGCTATTCAAGAATAATGCCCGACATGAAAACAAAATTGGACGAAGCTGTGGACAATTAATTATCTATTTATTTTTCTATTTTAATACAGCAATTTGCAACGGTAATTTATTGTTAGTTCTAAGTTAATTTTTAGAAGATTCAAAAAAATCAAAATAAAAGTGAAAAGAAAAGTAATATTTTTATATAGAAATAAACTATATAAAATAAATCAAAGATAAATAAATAGGTAATTTATACAATGTTAAAAATTTGAACTAGAAATTCTTGTAAAAACTATTAAAAATTATATATCTTTTAAGTAACTTGAGTTTTCACAATTTTTTATATATACATATAATAAAATTCAGTGAGCTTCAAAATATCTGAGATAATTTAAATATTTAATAATATATATTTTAGAAGAAGAAAATTCGAATAAATTCATTAATGTAAATAGTAATTATAAACTACATATAAAATAAATCAAAAACAAATAAATAAATAATTTAAATAATATTAAAAACGTGAACTAGAAATTCTTCTAAAAACTTGATTTATTTAATTTTAATTTATATTATATGGTTATTATATATAAAAAATTATATATAAAAAATTATATATAAAAAGTTATATATAATATAATATTATATATATAAAAATTAATCTTTTTTTTTCACTATTTAAATCTCTTCATAATCGCAATATAGCATGTAAATTAATTCTTAAATGAGTTTTTCATTATTATATCTATCTTTATAATATATAAATAATAATTATATATTTAAATAAATAAATAATTTAATTAATATTAAAAGCGTGAACTTGAAATTCTTCTAAAAACTTGATTTATTTAATTTTAATTTATATTATATGGTTATTATATATAAAAAATTATATATAAAAAATTATATATAATATAATATATAATATATATAAAAATTAATCCTTTTTTTTCACTATTTTAAATCTCTTCATAATCGCAATATAGCATGTAAATTAATTCTTAAATAAGTTTTTCATTATTATTTCTATCTTTATAATATATAAATAATAATTATATATTTAAATAAATAAATCATTTAATTAATATTAAAAACGTGAACTAAGAATTCTTCTTGATTTATTTAATTTTAATTCATTTTATATACTTATTATATATAAAAAATTATATATAATATAGTATATATTAAAATTAATCTTTTTTCTTCACTATTTTGAACCTCTTCAGAATCGCAAAATGGCATGTAAATTAATTCTTAAATAAGTTTTTCATCATAATATCTCCCATTATGATTCAATAAGTTAATTCTAAAGATTTGGCAACTGCTGGGTAGCATAATTAAAACAAAGATATTTATAGCATTATATTAAATTTATATATTTAGTTCTTTCACATAATAATATATACAATACAAGAGTAGTAAATGTGTTCGGTAAGAAACAAAGACTTTCCTGTAATTACATATATATTTTATTTTAAATATGATCTTAAATCTATAAACATTTGTTTGTTGTTAAGCATATTTTATAATATAATTAATAAGAGTAATCTAATAAAATATATTTAATCTACTAACATAAATATCACAGTTTTTATGTTTTATAGACATGCTTTAGAAATTTCTAATATAAGCAATAACCGAAAAAGTGTGTTCTACTGGCAAGAGTTTCTGAAGAACAAACAAAAATTTTAATTTCTATTGAAAACTTTTCATCTTACAATTTACAAAGATTTGTAATTTAAAAATAAATATATGTATATAGCACTACTCTACCCACACGGTTTCGATATATAAATATAAATTTCTCACAAAAATATTACTTTTTGCCTTGAATATTGGAATGACAATGAATGCTTGGTTACAATAAAGCTCTATTGTATGAAATATCTGAATATCTGAATATCTGAATATTTCTATTGTATTTACTATATAAGATATTTGAAAATTTACGGCCAAAGCTTTTATAAAACAAAAATAAATATGTATAGTGAAAATACTATATATAAATGTATGTACATAAATACAATATATATTAAAAATAATTAGCTTAAGTTTTTAATTGTTTACGCGGCAACCAAATTTAAAAAATTATCCGAACTATTAGCTAAACATTGCAACTGCAGTTGATTGTTGGTAGTGCAGACTTGTAATTGCATCGATGAACTGCTGGACGTCGATGTGGGACGTACCACGTTGATCTTGGTGAGCTGGTCAACGTTTCTCGTTACCGCCGATGCTGGCGCAATAGGTCTCAACTGAACGACGTTGGTTATTAAGGGTGATGTTGCTTGTAAAGATACACCTGTCGATTCAGATAATACAGACGAGTTGATATTAAAGTAGTTGCTATTATTATTTACTAAAGCTGGTGCAAATTGTGGTAGTCTTAACGATGTATTCCTATTCACACCGTTGCCTTTTTCCTTATCGTGGCGTTTGACGTGCTTGGATAGATGATCGCTGCGCATAAATTTTTTTTGACAAACCGCACAAACGAATTTCTTCTCACCTGTGTGTGTACGTTTATGGCGGGACAACTCATCGGAGCGGGAAAAACGTTTTTCACAGTTTTCCCATTTACACACGAATGGCTTTTCACCCGTGTGTACACGTTGATGGGCTTTCAGATGGCTAGATTTAAAATAATTTTTTCCACAATTAGGATGAAGGCATTCATAAACACGCCTACGTTCTGCAGCTATTTGCGTTGCAGTCATCTTTTGTATAGGTGTTCCAGACACAATAGGTTTTTCGCTAGCCGGTGAGGTTGCCAAATTTTTCAAGATGCTGTTTGAAGTATCGATGAGCAGTAAACGTGTGGGAAATGAGAAGTCTTGTGGCGTTGTGATATAAAAATTTTTTGGTGCTAAAATTTGATATTGAGTCTGTGCTGTAGTTGTTGTTGGTAAATTGAAGGAAAATGCTGCCGGTGGATGATTAGGCAATTTTTCTGTTTGCGACCCATTTGAAGCTATATCAGTTTGCCAAATGTTTACATCTTTTGTGACATCTTTTGGGTTATCTTGTTTATTCGAGGTATTCTGACTGCGATTGCGATTCATTTTAAATTTTAAAGTTCTCCAAACATTTGTAGCACTAGTACTCTCATCATCGGATGATGTTGATGTTGCAACATTTGAACTTGTTGATATGATAGATGTACAAGAATTCTCATCCAATGTAGAGCAGATTCCTGAACTATCTACATGCATGATAACAGAGGCCCGTTGACTTTGCTTAGTTTGTGTTAGCTCTGGTGGAGGTGTAAGTGATGATTCTGGTTGTGTTAATTCTAAACGTTTTTTTTTACTGGGTGGTGCGTCAACTTCATCTTCTGTATCAGATGGATTTGGTGTAACAATGCTTCCTTGCTCTTGTTCAGGTAACTCTTGTTTTTTAAACTCTAATAAAAGTTTAGCCTTTAGACATTTTTCATCCAGTAAAACCTGTAACAATGATAAAAAAAAAACAGAAATTTAATAAATATAAAATTAATTTTTTAAAAAAATAAATAATACTTTATATTATAAAAAATTATATTTATAAATATATATTAAAAAATTATATTAAATACTTTCATAATAAGTTGTGTAGTAAATATTTTTATATTATATTTTAAAGCACATTTTTCGTTTGCTTGCAATTGTATATATATTATAATTATATTATGGTATTATAATTAATTATGTTAACATAAATAATATTATGTTATAATTATGTTATGTCATAATTATTTCATAACAAGTAAGTTATGTTATAATATATATATATTATAAGTATATTATAATAGAATATACATATTATAAGTAAGTTATGTTATAAAATATATATCATAAGTATTTTATGTTATATATAACTATATTATGTTCTAATTAATTATGATATATATATTATAACATAATATTGTTATAATTTGTATAATAAAAATATGATATTTTATAATATTTGTATAATATTAATATTATATTATAATATATATGTCATAATTAATTAGAACATGTTATGTTATAATATGTATATTATAATGAAGTTATATATTAATATATGTGTTATAATTATGTTGTATATTAATATATATAATTATGATTATTTTATTATACTTATGTTATATTATGATATAAATATTCTAAATATGTTATGTTATAATATAATATATATATTAGCTATGTCAAGCTATGATATATGTATTTTAATTATGTTATGTTATGATACATATATTATAATATAATAAAGTACAATATTATTATAATATAAATATTATAACAGAATATAATTACAATAAAATAATATATATATGTATTAAAAATATACATACTAAAAGTTTGCAATAGATTATCTGACATTTGACTCGAATTCTACACTGACTAGACTTTAACAAAATTTTTATATTCGTATGTAAATAAGTATTACTGAAGAAAAAAATCATACACAGAGATCGTGAAAATTTTCTAACGAGTTAAACCAACAAACATAAATAAAATAAAAATATATAAAAATAAAATATCATTATGAACTCAGTAGTGAAGATGTGCTAGACAATTTATTAAAATGACTAGTGACGTCACCTTACAGGAAATATAAAATATTTGATTAATAAATTTTGTTATTCAATAAAAAAATAGATTTTTTATAAATGTTAAGTATCTAAAATTTACGACAAGCTATCCTGATTTAATACTCAATCAAAAAAATAAAAAATTTAAATAAAATAAAAAATTGCACGACTATTTAATGCGGACATTTGCCAAATATAGATTTTTAATTAAATTCCAGACTATCTATATATGTGAAATAAAGTTAAAAAATAATTTTTAACAATGACTGTTATAAATAATGTTAGTGAACAAATTCTCATGTTCTGTTTGAATTATGATAAATACTAAAAAGTAATCAATAAAATTTACAAAAGTAATTTTATCATACAATACAATTTAACGCGTTATTATATTACTTCATACAAGCAAGTAGTCAATGCTCAACTTAACTCACATAACAAAAATATTAACAGCACAAAAAATGCAGAAAAACAGAGGAATAACCTCACAAAACAGCAGCGAAAGTGTTGTCGTTATGCTTAAAAATTTCTTAACATAACCTCTGTCAACGTTAAAATTTGCTTATAAAAATACTGTTAATTAAAATACATAACAATTCACTAGTATTTCGTTGCTCTTCTAATACATTTCGCATGTCTTTTTCTGTTAACCATAATTTAACAGAAACATTTAATTGCTATGTTGTTATGTGTGATCACTGAAAAAGCAAAAACAACAAGCTAAGTGATGATGGGTTATTTTATATTTGAGAGTGACTAGTGCCGCTTTTACTGTTAAATTTTTGACCGTCTGTAGAATGCATTTAGTTCTTGCAAAAACATAAAAATATATTTCTTGCTTTCATAAATTCTTTTAATTTTCCACTGTTATTTGCTCAAACAACAGAAATCATTATTAGATATAACATAATAACGAATAATCAATATTTACTAAATGTTAAATAAAGAAAAAAACAAAATTGTATTTTAAACAAATAATTCTTTGATTATGAACCTTGAAGCTGGATATAAATAAAACATTTTTTTTTATTTAATAATAATTATCATCAATATTTGAGTAACAAATAAAATTAGTTTATATTAAACTTAGTGAAATAATTCCATAGGAAAAAAATGTTAAATAAAACTATTAGTCAGTTTTTGCGCTATTATGAAGTTCTTAATTGTTTAAGTTACTTATCTCCAAATCTTATCACTTAAATGTAACAGATTTTAGTTTTTTGTTTTTTTTTTGTGATATATTACAGCAATATCTTTATAAGTCTAAAATACTTATCTTTTACTGAAAACATTGAAGAAATTTACATTTATATTTCGTCATTGCATGATGATAAGATAAGTTAACTTTACGATACAAACGTACTTAACACCCAATTTAATACACCTACTTAATAATACACTATAATTTTATATATATAATAAATTTGATCTAATATATTATAGAGTAAATGAAATCAAATAGCAAACTACGTACAATGTTCGAAATCAGGAATATATAAAACAATGTATTTTGCCTTTTTTAAAAAAATCACTAATTCTAAACTACAGCCACTTTTTTTTAAATGTTTGATCTAGTCGAGTACAACAGCAAAACTAACAAAACTATTTATTAATTTTGACCCACTGTATTAAATGCTTTTTTGTAATATTTATTAACGAAGAGATATGATTTACTGTTAAATTAAATATTAACATTTTGATATTTTAACATTTTAAAAAAAATTTAACATTTTAAAATACATTTTAACAGTAATGACACACAAAGTGTAAAATTTAACATAACCATGTAATACTTTTACATCTTGGGTAGAAAATTTTAACATTGAATTTATATTAATTCCAGTTTTTATATACATACATATATGTATATGTAAGTTTAATTAATCATTTTTAATTTTGTATTTCTTATTTTCAATTTTATTCTATAGCATAATTTTAAAAACGGAAATTAATTTCTCCCTAATCTACTAAAAATAAAACACCTGTAAATTATATATTTTAATTAATAAAATTGGATTTTGTACTCGACGACGCAAGAAGGAGGTTATGGTGATTTATTGCGATAAGCGAAGATTTTTAAGTCGTAGTATTAGATTTCAAATCAACTTGCAAGACTTGTAGTAATAATAACAACAACAACAACATATACAACGACAATGATGAATCTTTTGACTTAATCATCAAACAATGAGCCTACATTTCATTATATATTTCCTATAGGGCGGTAAGATAGACATTACTTTATATTCAAAAAAAAAAAATTCATTAAAAATTTAAAAAAATGTTTGTTTTTAAATTTTTCTCTGATTCTTAAATTTGTTACTTTACAATTTTATATATATTGCGCTTAATTAAAATACTTAAAATTTTTATAGTTTTGTTTTGATTTTATATAAGACGATATGTATGAGGAATTAATATTTAATAAAAAATCATTTTTAAAAACCATTTTAAGTCTGAGTTATAGTTTAACATACATATGACGTATTAATACAATAAAAAAAATTATGTTTTAAAACCGTTTTTAAGCCTGAGTTATAGTTCAAAATATTAGCATGTGAAAATTTTTTTTTTTGTAATTAAAGTAAATGACAAAAAAAAAATTTACATTGCGCCAGATTTCATATAATATATAATTGAATATATATTTATATTTACATTTTACAAATGTATGTATGTAAGTTGCTTCTTATAAATATAAGCTACGCTAATCAATGCCGTAAGCATGCAATTACAAGATTTAATTTTTAACATTTGGCATTTCTACTATTGAACAATTCTATCGTCTGCTACGCTCAATAACATGAACGTTCAACATGAATACTACAGCGTCAGCGGCAAAGGCAGCTACGTGAAAAGCCTCCCACAAATAGTGGGTAAATAGAAATCATAACTAAAGTTCATGTCATACCGAGAATCACATGTATGTACAAACATTATCGTACTAATTTATAAAACTCACAAAATAAGTTTGTGCGCACGAACAAAAAACAAAATACAACAAAAACAATCAAAAAAAAAAGCCTCAACACATACAGTCCAATGTATCAACATGCACTGTTCACGTGAACACCAGCTGATACTGAATGAACACTGCGTGATCAAAATGCTTGCAATGTGTACGAATGAGAAGAAAAACGTTTGTTTTTACAAATTCAACGAGTTGAAATGTAAAGGCAATACAGAGGAAATTTTGTATGGCAAGAGCAACAAATTTTTTTGTAGTTATTTTTTAAATCCATGTGAATAATTTTTAATAAATCTTTTTATTTTTTTTGCATTAAACAAATCCTGTTTAGTCCGTGTTTTACAAAATATTTATTTTACATCTTTTTACACAATTTATAACATTTTTATTTTTTAATTTTCATTCTGCTTTTATGAAAAGAAAATATATGGGCTAATAAAGACCTCAAGTACAAATTTATATTTAAATTTATTTAAGATAAAATATTTCAAAATTTAACTAAATATTAAAAACTATAGATTTTCTTTTTTTATATATTTTTTTGTTTTATATTATAACAATTTAATTAGCAAGCATTGGACACTTTTGTACAAACATTAACGTATTTTTCAAGGTACGTTAAGAATTTGAAGCAAAAATTTGAAAAATGTACTTTAACACTACACAAAAAGCATATGAATTTAAAAAAATTATTCATTTATTTTTTTAACTATAATAATGTTAATATTAAAAATTTTATTTCTTTGGTTTTTTTTTATAATTAATTACAATTACTTACATCTTTTTTATTATTTTCGAAAAGTGGTGGCGTTGCTGGTGGTGAAGGTAATATTATATCCATTTTAACTGTTTAATTTGACTAGAACTAATTTTTGTTTTTTTTTTCAAATTTTTTAATAAATTTTATTTTTATTAAATAGCACAAAATAATGTTTGTATTTAAATAAGAATTCAAGAATTTCTTGTAAATTATTTAATTAATTTTATTATTTCCGAAAATGCACGCTATGCGTGAGAACCACTCTGTTCAATGTTTAATATGCGAATGAACTGTTAACAAAACCAGCAGGGCAAACCATTTATGAGTAAAATGTAAGTATGTGTGTAGTTGTAGTAGTGGTATAAGTTAGTTTTGTGTAAAGCAACGTAAACATCGTCATCAGCGCCGTCATTACTCTACCATTAGCTTATATTTGCAGAATATGAAAAATAGTGTTATTTTTGTTTTTCCAAGGAGGTAAAGAAATGCAAGATGGAAAGAAAAAAAAATAGAGTAGAAAATGAGAGAATAAATTTTTTACTGTAACTGTTTTTCAATAATAAAATTTAAGTCCGCTGTTAAAGTTAAACTGTAATGGTAGCAAAACGGTAATGATGCTGATGCTGTTACTGCTGCCACTGCTGCTGCACCTGTACAGAGTTGAAACGTGGAAATTATTTTCAAAATAGAGGTGCACCCAACATAATATTTATTCCTAGGAACTTTTATATGCTTAAATAAATTTATAAATCATTTAAAATGCATTAAGGACGTGTGCGAGTTAGGCTAAGTTGCGTTCTAAATGAGGGAAATTCTAAGATGAGCCGATAATGTAGTAATGTGTCGATACGAGTTGATAAATGGCTAAATGTGTGCAGTGCAAAAAATCCCAAAAAATCTCCCATTTGGTTTAGCATCAACTTAGCCTAACTCGCACACGACCTAAATATGCTTTTTTAAAAATTTTCATTAGGGTGTATGGTAAGCAAGCATTTTGATGCTCATGCTTAAAACACGGCTACTTCACTTCTTTCTTTTTTGCTTTACATTTAAGTGCAAAGTGTGACCCACATACTTGTGCCGTAGTCTACAGTAGTCTACAATATTAACAAAAACATTTATTTAAAATGCATTTGTAATATATTTGTAAATATAAAAAAAAAAAAAAAAACAAAAAAAAAACATTTAAAAAACAACTTGTAGGACTTTGCTTTAAATAAATTTAAATACACAGGGTCATTTAGTTTATTTTAGTAATAATATATGTATGTATTTCAATGCATATGTACATATGTATGTATGTACAAAAATGTACTTACATGTATTTAACTAATTTAAGGATTTTATTTTGTAACAAGACATAAAAAAACAAAAAAAAATTATTATTGTTTGAACCTTTCGTTTTTTCTTTATCATTTTTAAAAATAAGCGAAATGGGGGCTCGTTCTCTGTTAACCAATCAGCTAACAAACATTTGCTTGTAATTGAGAGAGAAAAAGGCAACTCACAACTCACTTGCTAACTAAATAACAAGCAGCAGCAGTAGCAATAGCAATGCATGAGAGAATAAGAAGAAGAAGAAGAGAAGCCAAGCACTTGAGTAATGTTGCACGCTTTCAAAATACGAAATTTTTCAGCTGTTCACGCGTTGACCTCATGGTATCTTTAATTATTCACGTGAACAGAATTCAAATGAGAATTATCATGAACGCTGAACGCTGAACACATATAAATATAAATAGCCTACTCTATGATGGGCACGTCAACCGCCATACACACAAAAAAAAAGCAACACAACAACAAAAACAAAAATACGAAAATAAGTGAAAAGTATGTGCATGACTTTTGTTAATATAAAAATATTTACTCTGTAAAGAAATTCGGTTTGATAAAAAGAGTCACTTGTGGAAATTTTATAATTATCTCTATCTCACATGGAACAGATTTACGAAAAACTTTTACTGTATATAAAGTCATCATTTTATCATAGCGTGATAAGAAAGAAATTAACACAATTAAGACGCACAAATGCCTGGCCCATATAAATTCTTTTCCACATTCTAATAACTTAAACAAAATAATCATTTGAAATTATTTTGGAAAAAAAATAATAAAAAATATATACATATATATAATTTTATTTTACGACTACTACAAAAATAATAATAAAGTAATAAATAAGTACAATAACAAAATAAGCTTAAATAAAAATAACAAAACTAATGAAATATTACTTGAGAAATTAATTTAGTTAATTATTGGCGGGAATTTTTTCCATTAATGTTTATTTATTTTGTACATATTTAAATTTAAATATAGGAGTATATAGAATTTTATAAATAATTTCAGGTGAAACTGATTAAAAAAAAAATACACAAAAAATTATAAATTTTTGGCAAATTATACCATACATATAAACTGGAAAACTTGACTTTTCTCTAACAAGAAAAATATATAAAATAAAAAGATATAATGGTTATTATTATATTTAGAAGAAAAAAATTAAACAATTAACAAAAAGCACTAACAACAAAAATGGTTTAATGGATGAATAAATCATCTATTAAATCAAACATTAAAAAAGTTTTATGGATGGATAAATCATTCATTAAGTCAAACACTGAAAATGTCTTCAATAAAAACAATGTTGTCAATAAAAAAAATATCCTGAATAAAAAATGTCCTTAATAAAAAAATGTCCTCAATAAAAAAGAACGTGTTTTGTTGTAGTTGAAGAAAATACAATCTCCGAAGTGCGCACTAAGTGCGTTTTAACAACTTTATTTTCAAAAGTAAATAAGAAAATAAGGGTAGCGCCAGCTAACTGCACTAAAAAACAAATCATAAGAAGATAATTAAGTCAGACAATCAATATATTTTAATTATTAAGTGTGCTACACCATTAAATAATTATCAATAAGTACTAACAACACAAAAAATACATAAATCCATCGATTAAGTCAAATTTTAAAAATATCCTCAATAAAAAGTGTCTTTTTATGTTTCAATGAAATGCCTTTTTATGAAAACAAATAAAAGTGCCAGTTAACTGCACTAAAAAAAGAAATCATAAGAAGAAACAATTAAGGCAAACATTAAAAACTAAGTCAGACTGTCTGTGACCGGTCACGTTAGTCAAAACAACGTTTCTCAGTAACAAATATTAAAATTTGCCCCTATTAATAGTAAATAAGTGTATGACGAATTGTCACGTCAATTTAGCACTCTTTTTGGTCATATTTCAATTTCCTACCTTCAGTATTATTTTGGTACTTTTTTTTAAACATAAATTCAAAACTTTTGAATTTTTGTGCAGATATTAGTTTTGATGATTGTCTTGATCATTCATAATATAACTGTCTGTATAATATGGTCCTAACAAAATGTGTTTACTTGTCATTTATATATTTCAATGAAATGCAATTTGAAAGTAACATGCAATGTGGTTATTAACTACACTCAAACATAAGAATAGAAAAGAAAAAATATGCCAGCTAATAACACTAAAAAATGTATCATAAGTAGAAAGTAATTAAATCACACATGTAAAATATTCTCATTTAAAGGTTTTGGATTTGCATGTAGATTTTATTATGTTTCACTGAAGTGCAATAAAATAAAAGAAAGTGCCAGTTAACTGCACTAAAAAGTAATTTATTAGAATAAAGCAATTAAGTCAAATATAGAAATTTTTTTTTGATTATTAAATGGATTTGTTTATAGATATTATTATGTTTCAAACCTCATCAAATATATTTAAGCACAATAATAGAAAATAAAAGGAAAAAGTGCCAGCCAATTGCACTAAAAAAGGAATAAAATATGAGACAAGAATTCTTCAACACCATTTACTTAAGTCAAACATTGAAAATAATCACATTACGAAGTAGATTTTTTTGACACTAATTATTTTTATTATTTTTATTTTAATGAAATACAACTTAAAAACAAAACAAAAATATAAATAAACAAAACATCTGTAAAGACAACAATAAATTGTAGAAGCAATCTATACATTGCAAATATTTTTCATATTTTTATAGCGAAATAAACCCTTTAGTTTTACTTATGCATGCAGTCGGTGCCTAACTTAATACAAATTAATATATAAAAATAAACAACTGAAATGATATATAGATATTTTATATAAAATTGTTTTAAATATAAAATTGTGCACCAATTGTTTCCAAACTGTTGCCAAATATATTAAAATAAATAGATGGATATATTCCAGAAATCAGTTGAAGATGCACACAAAATTATCGGGCTTCAAATTCATCACGATCTAACCAAAAGTCTTCAAGTAAACGTTTTTTGCAGAAATAAACTGAAGACGAACACACAGTTTTCTGTCTTAACAACCATCAGAATCAGGCCAAAAGTCCATTGCATTAAATGAAAGTAGCTTGAAGAAGTCTGCTGTAGTTAACTGGATTAACAGCCATCAGAATCCAGCTTAGCAAGATATTGGCTTCCTTATAGTTAAAAAAACTAATATAAAATGTTGATTTAGGCATGTTTATACTAAAGTAAGTTTTATATCGTCATAAAGGATGATATGATGATCATATAGGATGATATGAAGGATGAAATTAAGTTGAAAGATTGATTAAATTTGCTTTGTCTTTGTACGTAGGGATTAATAGGAGTGGTTTTCTGCATTAAAACCAGCACTAAAAGTTAGGATCTACATATATGTATAGGTGAGATCAGCTTCATTGTTTAAAAAAAGAATAATTGAAACTCTAATAATAACATATATATTAATATAAATTAATTCATCTGTAAATAATATATACATATAATGATTCGTTCGTGTTTTAGTATAAAATATTTTACCACCTCAGCTATTTCAGTTAATCTCTGTATATACTTTTATTATTTTTATTATTTTTTTAATAAAAAAAAATTAATTCAATGTCTCTCTATAGTTCAATTTTTGTTAATATATGGTATATGTTCAACGAAAATCATTATACGAGTACAATATAAATGACTAATAATATATAATAATATCAAAATATAATAAATTATACATTTTTACATTTGATTTAAATAAATTTATTATATATAGCATACAAATCATTATATATATATATATGTTTGTAAGTGGGTGTTATTAGAGATAACACTGTCCATGACAGACTTTAACCGTGAGAAATTACTATTTTTATATCAAATTTTAATAAAAATATACACATTATCTACATTTCCAATATTTATATATTGATGTTTGCATTATGTATATTTTTAAATTATATATATGTAAATACATAGTCAAC